CGCAACGCGCCCCGGTGCGGCTCCAGCCCCGGCCATGGGGCACATGCCGGCGCACGATGCAAGGGCATCCCTATGCCCCGGCCCTGGCGTGCCCCAGGAGGCGGGGCCCCCGGGCGCCCGGCGCGTGAGTGGCCCCGCCCCCGGGAGCCTGTAAAGGTTGGGGACCGCTGACCTAGTGAGAGGGTACTCAGAGACAGAATCAAGAACCTAGTTTGTTCTTTTCTTTGCCAAATAGCACTACTTTTCCATTAGAATCCCATAACCCTTGACACTTATCCCGGCCCTGGCGTGCCCCAGGAGGCGGGGCCCCCGGGCGCCCGGCGCGTGAGTGGCCCCGCCCCCGGGAGCCTGTAAAGGTTGGGGACCGCTGACCTAGTGAGAGGGTACTCAGAGACAGAATCAAGAACCTAGTTTGTTCTTTTCTTTGCCAAATAGCACTACTTTTCCATTAGAATCCCATAACCCTTGACACTTATTTACAATCTTTAATTCTCTTCTGTCTCCATGTGGGATTTTGCTGATTTTTAAATAAAATATGAACAAGATCTGCTGTCAAGTAGATCACAGCCTTTCCTCCTGTTCTCTCAATCCCATCACCTCCCAGTTATTAACAGTAAGCTTACTCTCTCCTCTCTCCTTTTACTTTTCTTTGCATTAGCTACTTCAAATTAAAGTATTACCTTCTCTCTACTAACCTAAAAAAATCCTCAGCCTTTATTGTACACACCTGTCCAGTTAGCAGCTCATCTCCTTTTACTTCTGTATTTCCTAACACATTGAATGTGCCATTCCCTAGGGTTCCCATGTTCCTGTTCTTGAACTACGCCTTGAAAACCCCTTTAGCCTGACTTCTGCCTTCTTGATTTCATTTTGACTTCTTTCTGGCTAAAATTTCAAGGGCCTGGATTTCATTTTGTCCCCTTTGCTCCTTTCTACAGTCAGTCTCCTCTTTCTTCCTGATATCATGTCCTCTCTGGACTTTTATGGCTCCTTGTTTGCTTCCTGCCTTTGGTTCTGATTTCTCTTAGTGGGCTGTTGCACTTGTCTCTCCTGCTCTGAGATCTACAAAGCTTTCTCCTTGGCTATTGCCTGTTACCCTTTCATACCCTTTATCTGGAACGATCTGATTTGTCTGTTTTTTCAACTATTGTCTTAAGGTAGATTTGTGAGATCGTGTTATCTAAAGTTTCTAGACAATCTTAGAATATTAGAATATTGGAAATGGAAGGGACTTTGAGAGGTCATGGAGTACAGTCCCCTGCCCTCATAGCAGGACCAAGCACTGTCTAGACCAGGGCTACTCAATGTTGGGAGCTGTGGGGGCCACAGTGATACTCTCAGCACATGCCGAGAGCCACAACTTAAGTGTGGTTGCATATACATGCAAATATACATGCAAATAGCTTCTTTCACACTGATGGACATAAATACAAAGCACTTCTCACAATGCCCCGGCGCTCCCAGCACCTCCTCTCTGGGGACTAGAAATGCCGACACCCATACCTGTGTGTTCCAGCCAGCCCATCCGCTTGCGTCTTTCAATGCTCACCCCGACTAGGAGACGCCTTGCTATTGTAGAACATGTTCCCAGTGGAAGCTATGTTCAAAGGATTGCACCCATGGGCTGTGTGTGGAGTCCCGCGTAAACCTAAACCGTACTGTGGACCACAAAAAAAAGGGCCCTTGTCTAGACCATCCCTGATAGATTCTATCTAACCTGCTCTCTAGCCTCTTCAGCCACTTCACAGCAATTCTGGGCTGGACTGTGGCCTGTCACTGGTACTGACAGTAGGAAGCCTTTATCTTCTGTGTGCTCAGAGACCCCTTCTCTCCCCCCTCCCTCACACCTTGTTGGCACTGAGGATGTTAAGAAGCAGGTAAATGACTGACCATGTGATCAATACAATTTGTATCGACTACATAATTAGTTGATAAGCCTCGCTGTGGCTCTGCAGTTTAAATGTAATAGGAGCCAGGCATGCAGGCAGGTCCCAGACCCAGTGCAAGCTGGGACTGAGCAAGTTCAGCTCACACCGAGTCCCAAACCACTGTGCCTCTGCATTTTAAATGTAGTAAGAGCCACTAGACTCTTACTACATTTAAAATGCAGAGCTACAGTGGAGGTAGGCCTAGGACCCAGTGCGAGCCAGGACTGAGTGTTCCTGGACCGCTTCACCTCTGCGTCCCCTTCCCTTCTCTCCCTGCACTGCGGAGATGGTGCTGAGGGAACCAGTAGTCAAGTAGTGACTCAACTAGCTGCTTACATTCCTAGCTGGCGCTTCGGCAACATGGAGGAAGTTGGTTTGAATGCAAAGGGGGACAAAAGCCGAACTAGGGAGACAGAAAGGAATAGGTTGGGACAAGCTGTCTAAGGCTGGGACTGGATGGGAAATTGAGGGAGAGAAACTGGGATTGACTGGACAAAAGGACTGGGAGGCTGGGCTGGGAAAGAGAATTCTGGAAGCTGGTGTGGACAGGAATGTTGCCTGGGACAGTGGGACTCTGATTAGGAGCCAGTGGAAGGGAAGAGATGGGTTTTACAACAGAGGTGAGGAACCTAAGGCCCAGGGACCACATGCGACCCCCAGCTTGCCTGGATCTGGTCCCTGAGGCTTGGGGCTCCCTGCCCAGCATTGGGGAGTTTGCTCTGGTGCTCCAGCCCTTCCCTCGCTCCACTACCCCTCTTAGGACTGGAACACACAAAATATACTACCCAAGCCCCCCTAGGCTCAGGTGTGCAAGGGGAATGTCTTTCTCCATGTCAGTGAGGGGTTGATTGGGTTTTTTTGCTCCTTGTGTGCGGTCCCCGACTGATTTTTTTTTCTGTGCATTAGCAGCCCCCAATACAAAAAAGGTTCCTTACTCCTGTTTTACAAGGAGCTGTGATAAGGAATCAGTGGAGGAAAGGGGAGACAGATGTGACAAGGAGCTGAGATGCAGTGGAGGAACTGGGCTGGGCTTGGCAAGGACATTAGAACAAGGAGTTTGGGATGACTAAGATTAGATCAGTGGTCTGGGCAGAGAGACTAGGACTGAGAGCTGAGGAGAGGGGAGATAGGACAAGAAACTAGATGAGGCAATTGGAACTGGCTGAGCAAGGAAACTGGTGAGACAGAATTAGGACAGAAAGGTAAACTTGGGACTAAGAGAGCCCGAAAGGGGAGACTTGGCTTGGTTGACTCAGGAGACTGGGCTGAAGAGTAGGGGTATTAGATGCAGTTTATTTTAGTAATCATGTAGTTGCAACAATTTTTAGTGGTTACATGGCTACTAAAATACTCCCCCTGGGGTGGGGCCAGCAGCCAGTGTGCTCCCGGACCCTCTGCCACTCTGCTCTGTTGCCTCTGTATCAGAGGTAGCAGTGAGGGGTGGCAGGCAGAACTGGTCTGTGAGGGGAGCTAGTATAAAAATCAGCTCCCCATGCTGACCAGCTCCTGCCTGCCACCCCACATTGCTGCCTCTGTTAGAGAGGCAGCAGCATGGGATGGCAGCAGCCCCTGTCAGGGGTGGGGCTAACCTTGCAGTGGAGAGAGGCTGCTCCTGCCTCCTGTCTGCCACTCTATCAGAGGCAGTGGTGGGGGACAGGTGGCTCCACAGGAATTAGCATGGGAACTTTTAAGCTGGCTCCCCACTGGCACTGCGTACTGCCTCCCCCACCTTGCTGCCTCTGATACAGAGGCAGCAAGTGGGGGCATTGCTTGTAGTCATTTGGATTAACCAGTAAGTCTAGGCTTATTGGTTAATCATTTAAATGGTTACAGG